CCTTACATATGATCTCTGGTCAAGTACAGGGAGTCTTTTACTTATTATATATATATATATATATATATTGAAAGATTCTTTTAAAAAACACACAGATGTAAGAGGAACTGCAGAATCCGGTGCTGATTCTCTTTGGCGTTTCCCTCCAAACACCTTTCACATTACACACACTACCTGTTTCCATGGTACTGTATCCAAGACACGATAGAAAGAACATCAGTGCTTTTGTCAAGTGCTTTTCGAGTTATATATATATATATATATATAAAGCTACTGAATAAACCAGCCTGCTGCCTGACTGTGATGCTCAGTGAGCAGAAAAAGCTCAAGGAGACGAAAAACAGATTTGGATAAATCAGGTATTCTATCAACTTGGAGCCACATCTGAAATAGAACCGACTTCAACATCTAAAATTAATTAGTAGTTAATATGTTGATTATTTTTTCGATTAATCGATGACTCCATAAATGGTCTATATAGTGTCAAAAAAAATGAAGAAAAGTTAACTTATTTAAATAGTTGGATATGTCAAACCCCAAGAGACTTTGTTTCATATCATGAGATTTGAATATATTCACATTTTAGAAGCAGGCATCAGTGAACTGCTGTTATTCTTTGTGCACATTACATTAACACCGACTTTCTGATTTGACCTTTAGTCATAAAACAGACGTGTTAGTGACACAGATTAATATTGATCCAAAAAAAGAAATGATCAAAAAATTAAAGGAATCTGCCTGCAAACATCAGAGACAAACAGCAGCTGTTTCTGCCTTTTCTGACAGAGACGTAGGCCCTGTTCAGACCTGGTATTAACATCTGTCTCAGGTGGTCCGATCACACACACAAACACAAGCACATTGACAACACACCTGTCTGTCTGATTGGCTAATAACAACAACACATACTTGTTTATTTGCATATAGAGCGGGAAGTGAGATCTGATCACAAGTGGTCAGACGCACGTTAACACCAGGTTTGAACAGGGCCAAATATCAGTTCCTGCTGATAACGAATTGATAATGCAAAGTGAATCTTACGCTCCGAGCTGTTTCCAGCGCTGGAAGAAGTCCTGGGACGTCATCTCTGTGGGCTGGAAAAACTTGTTCAGCATCACAGGGAGTTTCACTGCGAGGTTCTGCAGAGTTCCACCGTATCTGTTCACACACACACGCGCACGCACACACACAGTCAGAAAGGAGCAGATTTTTAACTGAACACCCCTAAAGAAAAAAATAAGTCTGGATTCAGACACCAACCTGAACTGGACATTGAGAACCGGTGCATCTGTGAAATCTGACACACACTCGATGTTGAGGATCTGCTGCACCTGAGCCCCACCTTCTATTATGGGGTCTACTGTCTTCGCATGGACATTCAGCTGTGGAGACAACAGTCAAGGAGTCTACAAATACCAGAACTGAAGTGAAAAATATCCTCAACTGCGAAGTAGTAGCAGTACTTGTTGATTTAGTTGTGTTAAATAAACTCTACCACTCCCTGTGGCAGAGCTGCAGAGCAGTAGAAAGGATATGAGTATTGAGTGAGTCAGGACTCGTCACTGATGAGGAGAAGCTGAGGAACTGGGTAGAGGTCTTGTTGCCGTAGAAAACATACATTCGACCTGGGGGACAACAGAAGAAAAACTGTCGACTTTTCACATCCACTATATTTAAAATGATATACAATTACTAATCCCATTTCACATCTGATTCTTCTCATCAGTCTCTAACACTTGATGCCTGTCAGAGGTGTCCTTTCAAAATAAACTTAAAAGTGATGAAGGCTGATGAGAAGAACTCAAGTAAGTATGAGACAGCTGCTCACCCAGGTTCTGTCTGTACTCAGACTTCAGTCCAATCTGCAGAAGCTGGTTCTCAAAGATCACACCGTTGTTCTTACAAACAAACCTGGAATTTACAACCACACAGTTACAAATGTACAGAGAATTATGAGAACTTCTATTTCTGCTTAATTAAAAATATTTTTAAGTTTTCACTTTGTCAACCCATTCAAAGACATGGAAAAAAGGACCACGGCTGTTCAGACTAAGTATCCACAGTACATATATAATATATTGAGCCTATGTTACAAACTGGAGTGGAGATACAGTGTTTTTGCAGTGTGAACCATACAAGAAATTAAAAGTCACCTCGGCCTCTGCAGTTGTTAAAGTATTTATAGAATACTTTAATAAAACAATTTCGGAACTTGAACTTAACTCTCGTATTTGCAGGAAGATTTTAATCTATTTTTCAAATTTAATTAATGAAGTTGCTAGTGTGATATTTTCAGTTTCATGCCTCGTCCTTTCCTCATGCAGACATATCATACACAACAAAACAAAAGGTTAAATGCAAATTTAACGTGCCTGAATTAAATCCCCCTTTCAGAACCATGGACAGCGGCACTCGGCTGAAACACTGATTTATAAACTTTAGTATTTAATAGTACTGAAGTATTTAATCTTAAATGTACATTGCAATTTTATTGCTTGCACTATAGACTGTTCTTACACTGCAGTGCTTCACTTAGGCCCTGTTCAGACCTGTTCAGACCTGTTCAGACCTGTTCAGACCTGTTCAGACCTGTTCAGACCTGCATCAACATCCGTCTCACGTGATCTGATAACAGGTGGACAGCTCTAAATTCAGGTGTGAACCTACCCAAGACACATTGAGGATGCATTTGAGATCTGATCACGCAGACCACATTCTGAGGTGGTCTGGACCACATGTCCACATTCTTTTAGTAGTATGAACACAAGTGCGTCCTGGTACACATTGAAGGACTGACCTCTCCACTGACGACTTCTGACACTGATTAGTCCCAACACAGTCTATAATGAACCAAAATATTTTACCATTTCAAATGGATAAAACCTGATTTCTCTAAGACACATTGACAACGGACCCTTGGTCTGATTGGCTAAAAACATCAACACATACCTGTTTATTTGAATATAAAGCAGGAAGTGAGATCTGATCACAAGTGTTTAGAGCTGTCCACTTGTGATCAGATCCCCTGAGACGGATGTTAATGCCAGGTCTGACCGGGCCTTAGATATCCCCACTGGAGATAAAAATAATTAAGCAGAGGCTGGGATATATAGATCAGAGGGAGGGGGGGAAATCAAATCGCATCCGGTGTGTAACTATTTCCAAACAGCTTAATTTCATCAACCAAGCTCACAGTTTCTTCCCACCTGAAAAAGTTTTCCTCAGACACGTCAGTGGACGCGAGTGTAGAGCTGTCAGAAAAGACATCGACCAGAAGACTGGCACCTGTTGAGGGGGCTGAGTTTAGATTCAGCAGGTCTGTGAAGGACTGAGTTGAACCCTGAGAGAGAAACATCAGCAAACACCAGCTTTAACATACAGTATCTACATACAAAGCACACTAAGTGTATAGTGTTTTTATACATAAATATTTGATATGAATACTTAAATACAAAATAATTGAATATGAGGCCACAGTGTCAGACCAAATACGCAGCTAATCACTGAGGGCTCTATTTAAATCTCTACTTTCTAAAGCATGGACATTAAAGTCAAACTGAAACTTATATATGAATATGAACCATAATAACACCACAGCTACTGTGTGTTTGAACATTTCACATGCTGATGGTTGACAGTAAACAGAGAGTCTTAACTCTTAGGAAACACACTGTCAACTTCTGTGAGGGGCTGCTGATTGAAGAAGTGAACGGCCTATGAGTGCTGATAGATAGAGTTAGCTATCAACTGCAATTTGAGGTGTCTGTCTCTTTAAGACATCCAGCGTCTGTGATTTCTGCTAAAGGTTTTATTTCAACAACTGCTGGATCACCTGAGGCTCCAGCTCACTCACATGTTGTGTTCACCCCCCATCATGATGAGACTGTCCTCCTGGTGTCAGCTGTCTAGACTGTCTGAACTCAGAACAGTGGGTTGTCCTGTGACTTCAACTCTTTACGCTACTCTGTGATTCAATCAACACCGACTGAAGTCTGACACCCTCTCACATTTAAAGACAATGTGTCAATGAGTTTTTAGTCTCACAATATGAGATTTTGTAAAGACTAGGGATCTTGCAGAGTCACTATTTGCAAGACTATGACTAGATTCCTTAGAGGTTATTTCCCATCATGCTCCTGGTGGAAATTTACTGGAAGAAAACCTTTTTTTTTTTCCAGACTTTTGCTCCTTGAAATTCTACATCATTATCATTATTATTATTAATTATTATCAAATATTATTATTATTACATAAAGTTAGGAACTCAACACTATAATTGTCATGATTTCCTCATGAAATGACTGCGTTTAGACATTGTATTTATGATTTCCTGTTTTATTTTGAAACTTGTCTATGTCATCGCTTGGAAAGTTGTCTGTGTGAGGCCGACATAATGTACAGAGTCAATGAGTAACGTGAGGAGTGTTGATGTAACAGGTAACAGGTTACACTACAGTCTTCCAGTTCTAAACCTATACAGCACTGTTGGTGATTTAACAAACTATTTTTAGTGCCCACCCACACAGATTCTGAACCAATCAAATTACAGTACCGATGAAATCTAATTTCTGTTTGACTTTAATACAGCATAGTGTGATTATGGTTATGTGTGGGATGATCTGATTGATGGATATCTGCTCACAGAACCCAGACCTCTTCAATTCCTACATAAGAATCACTGGGTTTAATCATGCAATAATGCTAATGGTGTGTGGCACACAGAGACATTTTCAAAAGATCACGCCACATAATTAGACAATATGAGACAAGAGCAGCTGCCACTTCAGTGGTATTAAATAATAATGTAATAATAATGTAATTCACTGTGTGTTGTTTCTAGCTATCAATATACCATGGTCCCAGCAGAGAGTATGATGGGGCTAGAGGAGGCAGGGCGAGGTCTGTTGGTAGGAAGAAGGTCTGCCAACAGTGAAAGAGAAGACTGACGGAGAAAGACAAGGAGCAGAAAGAGGAGAAGAACGACAGGGGGCGGAGATAAAAGGGAAGGAAGGAGAAAGAACAAGTGAAGGTGAACATCAAGGAAATACTGAGAATGAAAGAAAGTGAAAGCAAAGACCATAAAGCTGTAAGCCAGTTATGAACAATATACAACAATATGTAGAATACAACTGTTACAATGTTTGTGTCACGCAGGCTTGTTTAAGAGATCAGAGATGAATGTTGCAGTAGAAATTCCGAGGTGATATTTCTTCACTTGTTAAGAATAAAAGTTTTTCCTGGGTGGTGTTTGTATAAAAAAAAAAACAACTCAAGCTTCTCCTGACCAGATTTCTACCTGTTCCAACCCTCCTCTGGAGTTACCTTGTTTGTGGGTTCAGTTTTCTCACTGTGCTCAGTGTTGCCATTGACATTCCTCCGGGCGTCGTTGATGTCAGGCAGGTTGCCTGGGCCCTTCTTCCTCTTCAGTTTGGCCAGGATCGAAGACTCTCTCTCTGGGAACGGGGGCATCTCTTCTAAGACTGTGGCCTGAGGAGGGACAGAGAGAGCGAGACTATGATATAAAGCCTTAGGCCTGGGAAACATAGATAGCTACCGGCCCACTGTACAATCAGCAATGATTTTGGTATTAGATATGATATGATAAAATATATGATACAAAGAGTTTTGTTCTCACTGTGACTTGTGAAGATACGGCACATAACCCTTAAAAAAGTATAGAATAGCACAGTAGATCCCAATTTAGGGTTATGCAGGATAATAATGCTCAGTACTACACTGTGCAGGCTCAAAATGCTCCAAACAAACTAGCAGGTTTTGCGTATTTGCTTGGCAAGTAAATATAAAACAACTGACGAATCAACTCTGACTGCAGCCAAGCTCAGGTACAAAAACCAAGACCTGATTCAGACTCTGTGTAGTGTGCAGTGTCTGACCTGCATTTTTTTTCATCCTGACCTCCTTGTGACTGATCAAGTCATTTTCACAGAAGCTTCTGTTGAGCTCATTTAAACAGAACAGACGAATCTTATCTGATGATCGATTTATTTACTAGATGACAGCATTAACAACTAAACAACTATGTCATTAAATGTTGTTATATTTGCTGTGTGATAAGGAAAATCAGCTGTTTCTCCCTGAAAGTTAAAGTTTTATAAATATGTAGTAACTTTTTAATCCTGACGTTTGCAGAGGTGGTCTTCATTTGGGGCAAGACTGAGGGATACCATGACAATATGACTCTTTATTATTCACTATGGATGTGAGTTAATATTACAAATATCAAGTGATTCCAATTGAAATGTGGACGAAACTTCAGAAAAGATATGATGTGATGTTACTTTACCATCACTGTAATCATATCGGATGATACATCAGATTTACTGTATGGAGGAGGTTCCAGTAAAGGGCATGCATGAGTTTATATGGGTATATGTTGGGAGGCAGCGCAGCGCTTTAAAATCATGAATGAGTGAGTGTGACTAATAGACTAGAAAAGGTGTTATCAGTATTCTGTCCACTTTCTGCATAATTCACGAACCAAAATGTCAGTGCTGGCAATGCAGCTGAGCCTCAAGTACTCCACAGCTCTCTGCTGAAGCTCTACGTCGGCATTGCGGAGCTGGCTGTCCGACCGCAGGACATCTTGGATTGTGGCCTTCACTTCCGGAAACAAGTTAATGAACTTGATGTAGGCGGAAAGCAGCAGGGCCCGAGTCGGCACAGAGCAGAGATGAAACTTGGAGTGAAGGAGGTTGAACTGGACCAGAGGGCTGAAGGAGAAGACAGTAACAATAAAACCTCTTAACAACAGGTCAGCTCAAGAGCTGTCACAAAATTAAACTCACAAGACAATACTAAACCAATATACCCAGTTAAGTTTTTAGACAACATTTGTTTATAGGTTTGGTTCACCCAGATTACAAAAATACTTATTGTCTCACCTGTTCAAATGTAGCCATGCAGATAGTGTTGGTTTGATTTAAGCTCCATATTTTCCTCTTCTTCTGTGTTTTATTTAAAGTGTTGATCCATAAGAAGATATATTTGTGGTTTTAAGAACCAAAAACCATCTCAATGTAGCTTTAATCTCCTCTCTCATACTTCTCTCTGGAGCTCTAGTAACAACAAGGCAGTGAGCCAATCAGAAGAGAGGAGGCTCTGAGCCTCTCTTCTGATTGGCTGACTGTTTTCTGAGTGATCCAATAAAAATATAGCAGATTTCAGGTAAACACTCAGAGAAACCAAATCCTGCAAGGTTGTATGGTGGGGCCAGGTGGGCGGGGCTTGGAGTGTGGCTGAGAGCGATGACTGTTTTGTTGTGACATTACAAAGTTAGAGAAGTCCTGACAGCTGGTTTTAAGGCTCAGTTTGGACCTTTATACTATATGGGACCTTTAAGACGACTTCGTATAGAGGAAATAGTCTGAGAGAAACACACTTTTCTGGAGGCGAGACTGTTATTTTGCTGTGCTGTGAATATCACAAAAAAAACTCTAATCAAATACATGAAAACCTGGGAAACCATCTGTAGGACTAGACACAACTTGAGGCAGGTAAGAAAATATTTGCTTTTATAAACTGGGGGAACAAACAGGAAAGACTTGAGCTGAAACATCAGCTGAACTGAATGATATGATTGTCAGAACAGTGGACTGCACTGTGTGGATGCTGTTTCTACCTGGAGCGTGAGTCACCAGCAATTAGGTTACCAAACTCTCCCAGGATGTAACCCCCGACCTTCACCAGGTTCTCGTGGCAGGCGGGAGCCTGTAGTGCCTACAAGTGTTCACAAAGCAGGACATTAGGAACAATATGGAAGAAAGCACAAACTGCCATCTACTGCAAGTAAGATTTTGAATGCAATAGGTGGCAACTACTCAGCCAACATGTACAAGTGGACCGCACATAGTCCAGCTACAAGAATACAATCCCTCATTGGCTTCCCACTGTGTATTCTTTGGTTATTTCTTATCTGTGAATGTATAAATCTCCATGCTCACCTCAAAGACAGTCTTGGCAGCATAGCCTTGGACGTCATCTCGGTTTATGACTATCTGGATGACGCGATACCACACCTCCTCACTGACATAGTCACCTGCGATGCGGATGAGGTTTAGGATGGTGTCCACGTACCAGGTGTAGTCCACAGCATATTTCTCTGCCAGGATCGCCACCTTGAGCACCTGAGGAACAGAAGCAACTGGCTGAGGACGAGAGCAGCACACAGAGAGGAACTACATGGTGTACAGGCCTGGACTGAGGACCCACTATCTCCTCTCTGATCGAGTAGTCGGCGGTCTCCAGATAGCTCAGCATCTCTGCCACAATCTGCTTGGCGTTGCTGCGGTCACACATGGCGTAGAGCAGATCCACAGCCCGCTGACGGACACTCACATCTCGCTCTGTCTGCACAGAAAATACACATGGACAGAAGATATGAAATGACAGACGTCTCATTAGCATAGTTAATCAATTTGACCAAACCACAACATGAGAACCAGGCTGTCGCAAGTTGTGGTATATTATGCACAGCCAAACAGAGACAGAAACATCCCTGTCTATGTTTTGCTACTAATACTTACCCAAATATTGAAATGAACAGAATCTTTTGACTATAAGAAGTGCAGTGATCTCTTGATGTTGATCAAGTTCACAGTCATTAACTGAGTAAATATATAGGTATCTTATCCTACCACCATCTTATCCTTATCACTGAAGTTCCTTGCAGAGTTTCCTCTGAAGAGTTATTCACAAAGCTGCTCAGAGCAACTAAAAGAACATCTGAGCTAAGAGTTGATGTGTTTAATTAATGACTGACAATATCTACAGTGAGTGGCAGACAGGTGAACTGACAGGTGAACAGTCTGTCAGTGAAAATGAAGAAAAATTAATTGAATTGATGGAGAAAAGGAGTGAGAAAAGGATCAAATTAAATTAGACAGACGATGGATGGTTGATCTATTTAATTACCTAAATATTTTATAAACTGTGTCACAGATTTAACATGTAACAAAAAAATCCACATATGTATTTGTCAAGTAGATTGTATCTTAAATCAAACACCATCTGCATGCTGACACAATGATACTTCTCTTCAAAATACAAAAACATATCTTCATCCCTTTAATTCTACATGTAGAACCAGTTTGACCAAGTGATCCAGCAAAGGTCAAGGAATCAGTTTTTTATTATTACAGTTAGTGTACAGTCTAGTCTGTAAGTATTAGGACAGTGACACAGTTTATATGATTTGTTCTATCTGCACAACAATGGTGCTGAAGGGTAAATTTCCTGGCCTGTCCCCTTGTTGTTTCATGACAAATTAAGCAGAATTAAGCAAAATTACAAAAATCTTGTCACTGTCTAAATACTTATGGACCTGACCTGTATATTCAATGTTGCCTACACTTAACAAACTGAAACATAGGTCTAAAAAGCCAAAAGCCAAAATTCTGACAGATGGCTATAGTATTTCAAGTTCCACAGCACTGTCTGTAAACTGTATTTTTCCAGTGTCCAAGTTGTGGAGAGTCATCATCTTCAACATTATTGTTTTGTTTTAATTTGTTGGTAAGCTGTTCTCATTAATTTACCTGCCTGTCTTATGAACAATTAACAATTAATTTTCTTCCACCCTCAATAACTTTCAATTATTACATAGCTATTAATAATTAATAATTCATAACCACTTAAAAAGAGCATAATAATTCCAGTGTCACATTTCAAACTCACTGATCACATGTTTAAAAAAACATTCAAGAGAAACCATCAGGTTCTAGAAGAAGTTATCCAAGCTCTACACATCATCATCACTTTCACATTAATCTCCAAAAGCGTATAAAAGGCTCAGAGCTGGTGAAGGACTCACCTTTAGAGCATTGATCACAGTTTCTATGTGCGTCTTCACTGCCTCATGAGAAAACTCAGAGCTGGCCAGCGTGCACATACTCTCCAAAGCCAAATAACGGAGGTTGGTTTCCCTGTGCTGCAGAAACTGGCCCAGCTGGTTACAGGCTCGTACCAACAGGGTGGGTTCGCTTAGAGACAAGAGAGAGAATCTAGCTTTAACATCCACAGACCCACAAGTGTCCCACAACACAGGAATGTGAACTAATGACAGAATATGAACCTGTCGTGGTGGATGATGAGGGAGATGGCTTCGAACAGAACTGCGTTCTTGGCGTTGGAGTGCTGGACCTTCTTGGACTTGGGCGGCTCCTGGGCTTTGTTGAGGATGGTCTCCAGACACTCGGTGAGACGACTTCGCAGCGCTGCATCCTCTGCAACAACACAGGCTTTGTTCTTAACACTCTGCTACCCTTCACTTTAACTATTGTCAACATCCCCGCTTCCCAAAACTCTCAGTATGAGGGCTTCATTATACATTTACTATAATACTATAATAATGATGAATCAGATCACTCTGTGTAATGTCACTTTACAAAGAGAGACATTACAGACGTCAATGGGAAGCCCACGTGGCTGGTTTTCTGCTGAATGTCTGAGTGAGCACAGGAAATGTTTTTTCCAATTAGATGATTAGATAATTATATAAACGACAAAGTGAAAAACGCACGCCTACCTACACCTCTACAGCTGTCTTACTTATATGATGTATCTTGTTTATTCAATCTGTGCATGGCCAGAAATGTAAAGGGACAATTTGTCCAGCTTCAGGTCGTCCAATAACAGAGGTGCACTGAAGTGAAAAACGAATACAAAGCAGACTGGATTCAGAATGATGTGTGGCAAACAGTAGAGAGATAAATTATACAGTTATCATCATGGGGCAGAGATGTGTTCTAAAAAATGTGATAAAGAGTTAAAGAGGAGGCAAAGTGGCAAGTCTCACAGATTTCCATCCAATAAAATAAATCAACCGGAACTGTGGCTACAAGTCAACACCTTTAAGTGCAACACACATCAGTGCTCACACAACTGATGCTGATAGACTGCAGCTGGGATATGCACATCTGGAAAGAAAAGGTCATGAAATAGATTAAAATTAATTATATCTATGAATGTAAGCTCCGGAGAAATTTTACATCTCTGTATTGGAGGCAGGATTTCTGGGAGAGGATATGATTCAAGCTTCTCCAAAACGACACGTAGACATCTCTGCAAACCTACGCACAGAGGGGTGTGATGAGTAATGGTAGGTCAGAGGCAGAGGTTCATTGGGGAGCCGACATACACACCTCCCATATCTCAACTGCGTGTTGTGCAAACCTGTGTGTGCATGTTGACTGATATATTCAACTCCTGACAGGAGGCGAGTTCAAAACAGACTGAATGAAAACAATCGATAACATATAACATACGTGTGTAAAAGAAACAGCCACTAGAACAGGCACACGGGGTCACCTGGATATGTGGAACCTGAGGAAGCCTTATTCTGGCTCAACTGTCAATCTAGGGACTCCCACAGCAGCTGGGTGTCCACTATCCTGCTGAATACTGCACTAGTATTGGCAAGCTGTGGTTTCACAAAGCATAAGGGTGATGCTAGAGCAGTGGTTCCCAACCTGTGGGCTGTGGCCCCTGGTGGGATGATAGGAACTTTTATGTTGTTGTCAGCTGGACCCTTTGCTGCCGGACCACATTGTAAACTTGCTTGCTATCTTCATTCTGATTGAGCGCTAAAAGTGGAGGATCAAAGTGGAGAGCTGGTTAGCAACGGGAAGAATTAAAGGGAAAGAGTGAAGAGACAGATGGTGAATCAACAAGTGATCCACGAACATGTTTGCCTGCTTTCAGTTCAGTCCTGAATGTTCGATCGTTATCATTGAAGTAAAAAGTGTTATAAATCACGTTATTTGGCCTCTGTATTGTTTCTGAAATTTTCAAGTGAGTTGGAAAAGGTTGGAAACCGCTGCTCTAGAGAAAAGGTAATAATGAAATTATCAAAATGGGTCTCCTATACCTACAGTAAATTTAATGAAAATGTGGCCATTAGTTACCTGGTGGAGGAAGCTGATAAATTGACCTGGCAGTAGAAGAAAAGGCAAAAACAAGAAACGACACAAAGTAGAATAATCAAATCAGGAATGATCATCTGGGGACCATGAATATCCATAATAGTATTACTATTTTTAATCTGGCTGGTGGTTGTTGAAATTTTTGCTGTTGGAAAAAATAAAAATGTCTGTTGCAAAATTTTAGAACAACTAGATGTAGGTGATGGAACTGTATGTTTCTACGCTGGATCATTATTTCCCCTCCACAAACACAGGACTGTACTGTACCACACCTGGTGGAGGGTAGCACTGTAGGAGGCGCAGCAGTTTGACAGACAACCACGGTGCAGCAACAAAGTAGTATGTATAGTCCTGTAGGTCGATGGATGCAGAGGTCACGATCTGGGCAGGAGAGAACAAGATAACACAGGTCAGATTTTTATCTCTGACCTCAGAGAAATGAAGACAATGTGTGAAGTTAGAGAAACACACTCACCCTACTGAGCCGGGCCACAGCCAGTGAGATGGAGGTTTTGAAGTCGTCCGGACTCTTCTGTGCCAGAGTGGTGATAAGGCTGGTGGCTGCTGTGACCACTCCCTGAAAACAGAGCGACAGCATTTATACAAAACACTGTGTACCAAATCTAAATGCCAATTCTAAATAGTATGTACTACATACTGATTGTTATAGCAGTTAATACACTAAAAACAAATCAACACACTTTTGATACTTTATTTTGTTGAGCTGCTTCACCACCGACGATAATTTATTTCATTTTTTTCCAGCTGTAGGCATCTCCATTTCCTTTGTGCTTTCAGGATTCTTCTTTCTGATACTAGACACTGAAAATCTGCATAGAATCAGCACATTATATGGAAATGGGACATAAGTAGAGTCTTACCAGGTGCTGATCATTAAGCAGATGGACCACTCGTGCTGTCCATTCGCCCATGGGCACCAGGTCAGGAGACGTCCTGTTGAGTCGTAGCAGACATAATGCTGCACTCTGTTTCACGCTGTCCATGGTGTCCCTGATAGAAGCACAATACATCATCACACATCATCATCACCCAATACATACACAACATACAGTACAATTCAAAAGGTCACCGTCACACTGGGAATCCTTAAGATTTCAGTCCCGGTTGCTTTGCGGTTACCAGTGGCAACAGTAAGTGCATAATCTTAAGGATTACAGCTTTAAGTCAAAAATTGATTTTTGTAATTGCCTTTGCGACATAGTGCAAGATGTTTATCAAATACAACAAAGAGCTACTGGAGTCCACGACCGATATGAAACCACTGACAAACATTTATCATTTTCTACTGATGAATGTTTATAGCGAACGAATACAAAGGAAACAGTTTATACTGATCAACCACTTACATTATATGGATCAAACAGCTTGGGACAGACTCATTACTATACAAATGCTGTTTAATAATTAGCTTATATCTGCTATATCTGCTTACAGTTTATTTTGGTCTTTTCATACATGTTAATATATGGAAAAATACATTTTAAACTGTTGTAGCCCTGTACTACAAGCTGTCATATGCTGAGGCTCTCTTCTAACTTCTGTGTACGAGGGTTTTGGTGCCACTGAATAATGATCTGCCTGCTAGGGCAATTAACTGAAAAAGTATCAGCCAACATTTACAACCTCTCACCTCCTTAATCTTGCTCATGTTGGTTAATACTTCCCCCAATATGTGCGTTCATGAACTTGTCTTCAGTCACATGCCTCAGCCTCGTCTAACTAACATTAGTCCGCGTTCACTCAGAGCAACGCTGACGATATGGATGACACAAGCACAAACACTGAGCCTCAACCTGAGCAGCTTCTACCTTACAAAGAATAACATGTCTGTCGTTTGGACACGTTTTGACTTAGTGAAGATGACACCAAACAAAAATTCAAATGCAAACACTGCAGAAAAATGTCAATGATGACAGGTAACACAATCAATTTGTTTAACACAATCACATTCCTGAATACAAAGAGTGCATGGCACAAAATAAGAGAGAGACCAATAAGCGCCAAAGTAATTGTTCATCAATCGTAATCAAGTTTGTGATTTTGAAGCCATAACACCCAGCTCTGCTGCCTGCTCTCCCAACAAACGTTCAATGAGTGTGTGTGAGATATCCTCACCGCCACGGCTCAGTGAGTTCTTTTACCTCCTGTTCTGTGTTTTCACCCTGAACACTCAGACCAGGCTTGGAGCAGGAGAGGGCCACAGCACAGTTTATGTTAATTTATCAGTAAATAGAAAAGCTGTCCGTTTCCATTACTTTATATTCATGTAATAATTACACAAATGTCAATGGTAATCTGCATGAGATAAAGAAGAAGGAAAAGAGTCTGGTTATAATAATCATCCGCTTATAGTGATCAATTTGACCCAGATAAAAGTGATCACTGTGAGCAGTTTCCACTGTATTTTGTTTGAGACTTTAATTTAATTTGAAACATAAATTAATGTGTATGTACAAACCCTGCCACCAAAATGCCGGGAATTTCAGAAGCAAAAGCTTCAGCCATTTCTCTGCTGCCCACGTTAGCGATGCAGTGCAGAGCCAGGTTCATGAAGGTCGGATTGCGGCTGGCCAGGTCATTCTTAATGGCGTTGTTGATGAGACGGATCAGGTCGCTGTTAGAGTTCACCAGCACTGAGATGAACAGGTACCCCTGAGAGGAGACAAAGGAAAATGGTTTTTAGCGCCACTCTACCAAATAGCAGTCAACAAGCTCTCAGCTTCAGACACTTGATGAACATGAAGATAAACGTACAATTTGTTTCTCCGTGTACTTGTTGGAGCTGAGGAGGTTGACGGCCTCCATGTGTCCAAAGTCGATGTCATGGCCCAGAAGAAAGATGAAGAGCAGCTTGCAGACATACTTTTTTTTACTGTAGCCATCGAGAGCCTTGTCCCCTGTCCACACACGTGCAAATATACACACGCACATCCACACCCACACACACACACACACAAAGATGGATTTGAATGTCTACATGAACTTACAAACACAGGGATGTTGGTGGTCTGTCATTTTCTTATGAGTATGGTCATTTTAGACCAAACAGGTGAGTAACAGAGGAAAAGAGAGAGGGAAGTTCAGCTGAACCCAAGTTTCATAGTCAAATAATCCATGGCTGGAATGCTCTAAGTATTGTTTAGGATATTTAGAGTTCATTCAGAGTTGGCACTTGTCAATATTTTAATTTGTCATGCGCTTTTGATTCACACTTTATCATATCCACAAATATTTATATAGTTTTTTTATCAACACTCAAGATTATTACTCATGTTGTCCTTCAATACACCCTGCCTAGAATTGTAAGAAATGTGTTATTGTTATTGTACTGTAACAAGGTGGAGGCCTGTAATCTGTAAAGTTACTCCTTGGCACTTTCAAAAAAAGCTCCACAGGATATAATGTATTAGAAGTTTATTTTTCACAATTTTAAAAATGGTAACTTGGCAACCAGACGCTTGGTCAGAGTGAGTCAGAAACCGAATGCAGGGAAATTACACAAGTTGAAGGGAAGCCCAACAAACTACAAAGGACAATAAATTTCACTATAGTCACAAGGATGTTTCTTTATACAGATTGAGGTTTCCCTTCTATTTTGACTTTGGCTAATGAAAGCGAGTCTGAATTGGATTATTTCTATGAGTAAAACAGCGGTAAAATTAGCAAACATTCTTTCAAAGTTTTTTTTCTGCTAAAAAACTGATCTGACATTGATCTGTTGCAGTGATTGGTCACATTTCTGCTAATTCTTGTGATCGTACGCATCCTGGAGGGACTTGACCACGGCTGTGTTTTTGTCAGTGTTTTACTTCCTCAGTTTTCTAATTTTCAGTTAGACTGTAGCCTCTGATGTCCAGAGAAATGCTACTACTGTAGCTGTAAAAGCTGTTGCTCTTTATAATCACATCAGACCCTGTATCACACTTGAAACTGTTCAGCACATGCATTAACAGAAGTCTGAACTGGATTATTTTTTATGTGTGCTTCCCCATGAGGCACTAAAACACAATAGCACATGAGTCTTTATGTTTGAAATGAAAGTGCTTGTTGAATTGCCAAAAAGCATCTGCAACCTCTTCCCTCCAAACCTTTCCAGTGTTGTATTTGGTGCGACTGTGGATGGCAATCTTTATAACTTTAATAATAATTTATGTAGAAGGAAAAGTCAAGCTCACAGGACAAATAATCATCATCAGGGAAAAACATTCTTGACATAATGCAGGGCGGGGGAGCACATAGGGAATATATTAGAGAGAACACAGGGCAGAAGGCTGGGCACTGTGAGCAGAGGAGACAGCTTCATTCTGGAGCAAACTAATTATAGGCAGCGTGGAACAGGTGGCAGGAGAAACAACACCAACAGGAGATTTACAGTGAGGTGTGTGAACCTCTAACACTGCATATGTAGAAACAGCCATTAAAAAAATAGAGACAAAGTCAAGACACAGTCACGACATGAGTTGGCGAAACAGCAGCAGCAAACAGCAACAGGAAAATTGATGTCATAGAAAGACCAAGGTTTTTATACCAATCAAAAAAAAATCCACCAGGTCTTACGTATCAGTCTTTGAATGGAATGAGAACCTTGACTCGTGGCCTGTCAGAATTGTTCACCTACCTTTAAATTTGGACCGGATGTTCGCCAGTTCTTTGTTTATCCTCTTAATCTCTGCTTCTTTACTTTTACCTGCAAGACATTTTGCATGTTATGTAGTGAGAGGAAAAAACTACACTTCCTGTGTACATCATTCGTAAAAAATTACATCACTCAATGCAACCTCTATGTGTTCTGTATAGGGCACTGGAGCTCCATTATACACAAACATAATAGCTACACTCATTGGACACTTTATTAGGTACACCCACAGCCTCAATTCTTCATAGCGTGGATTCAACAAGAAGCTGGCAATATTCTTTAGAGATTCTGGTCCATGTTGACATGATAGCATCATGTTGCTGCAGATTTGTCAGCTGCACATTAATGCTGCAAATCTCCCATTCAACTACAACCCCAACATGAAGTGGAAGCCATTAGAGAGCCATGAACTCATTGTCATGTTCATGGGACCAGCTTGAGATGACATATGCTTTATAACATGGTGCTGGAAGTAGCTGCTAAAAGACGGTAAATTATGGCCATAAAGGAATGCGCATGGTCAACAACATTTTTAACGATGCTCAATTGGTATTAAAGGGGTCTAATGTATGGCAAGGGAACATACCTCAATCAGACCACCATCAGCAATCATTTAGTTTATAACAAATTCTAACCCTACCATCTCCGTATTGCAGCAAAAATCCAGATTCATCAGACCAGGCTGCATTTTTTCAGTCTTCAACTGTCCAGTGTTGGTGAGCGTGTGTCCACTGCAGCCTAACAAACACTGGATGTTTTTTGTTTTACACTATGTAAACTTTACAGACTGTTGTGCATGAAAATCCCAAAAGATTATCAGTTCAGCAGGTCTGAACAACAACCAAACCTCTCCACCATGTCTGCATGCGTGTATGCCACATGATTAGCTGATTATATATTTGCAATAACAAGCAGGTGTACAGGTGTACCTCATAAAGTGGCCACTGAGTGTATATCACACATTGAAATACATAAAAGTCATAACAACATCTCAATTGCAACAATGCATTTAATAAAGAATAAAAACTGGAGACTTTTTCCTGTAATTATGACACCTGTATCTCATAACCACGAGATCTGTATGAGAATATCATCTCATAATTACAAGAAAGGGATCTCCTATGAGACATAGGCATTGAAGTTATCAAATGTTGTGGGTCAGATTTTTAGAAAAACTTTAACACCTATGTCTTGGTTTTGAGGAAACAGATGTGTCCTCCACTTTTTGTCTATTATCAGAGTGAGCTTACATACACCACCCTCTCCAGCCCTGATGCTACATAAGTATCAAGCAATAGTAAAGTGATAAAGACCTGTGGTGACTATATACTGTATCCATTTTACTGGAATTTGATAACTATGGAAACAGTTTGGGACCAAGTGTACTTGCTGATAGCTGCTGACAGATTTCATACACTGAAACAGCAGAACTTCTGAACAAAGCTGTGACATTATCTTACAGGAGCTGAGACTGGGGGACTGACAAGACGAGGAGATCAGTAAGAGCTTTAAGTGTGGTTGTGATTAGACATTCCCAACAAATACAATGCCTGAGCAGTGTTGGCATGGACATGTCACTCACTATCTGATAACTGTTCATGTTGTTCTCAAATAATTCTCTCACAGTTTTCAAACACATATGTCATGATTACAAGAAGTCAGTTTTCTCTTAATTGTTAGACACAGACCATAAAATTGCAAGACCTTTATAAAACAATGAGACAGTTTTGTGCTAATTACTATTAATACCACTAATTACAGAATCCTAACCCCAGGATGTAAAAGTCAACTAATAATGATTTATTTTTTCATTTTGTTAGTGTCAAATTCTCAGAACAGTTCTAGTGAGTGACTCTTAACTTCTTGACAAACAGATCAAGGCAGTAGCTTTATCAGACCATAACAAAGGGGACAGTGGAAATGACAACTTGTTTTGCAACAGTACCGCCCTTCAGAAATACACTTGAATGCACAATGAATATGTGATATTTATGTATGTGACCATAATGGAGTCTTTAATTATGTATGTTCTTCTCAGACAGACACCAGCGTCTGTAAAGGTCTCCATCTTGAAAATATTGGGAACGTTAAAGCTCCAGTTGGGCGGTTTTTTAAGACCCAAACTGGGGGAGTCTAAAAGTAAAACACACCAGAGCTGTCCTTAGTTGTAGCTGTGTACGTCCTATAGACGTTACCTTAAATATCCCTCACAAAGTCTAGTGCCACCGTCAGCTATAACGTTGCACAGAAATGTGTAAATGGTTTTAGGGAGAAGTCGTTATATTTCTGGCAGGAAACTGTTTAAAAACTGTAGAAGTAGCAAGACAAACCAGAAAAGCCACAGACTAACAAAAATGCCAGTTTGGCGTTATCTCCACTTAGCGGTGCGGTCCACGCCCTTCGACATGACGTTAGCAGCTGGAAGCTAGCAGCTAACAGACGCTAGTCTATGCTAGCCAGCTGAGCGGTTGACTCAGTCCACTTTGACAAGTTAAAGTTACCAAATGTGTGGGTAACGATAGAAATGGCAACAGACACGGTTCTTGGCATGTTCAAGAAACCACCTGCCAGATCGATAATGCTGGTCAACGTTACACCGGCTAACTTATAACTAGCAAATCAAGAACTGTCTATGAATGTGATAAACAAACTTACAGTTCCTGATGTCAGAGATGAACACGGCCAGGCCACGCATCCCATCCCCTTTAGACACTGCAGGCATTTTGTTCGATCCCTGTTAACGTTTCTTCTGTATTTAAAACAGCCTGACTATATAAAGTAAGTTTGTTTCAGAGTTGTTTTGCTCAGCAGATAGGAAGCACTGTTTAGTCCAGGGATCCCCGATATGTGACGAAGACAGGAACAAGGCACGCTGCGGCTGCGTTCAATGACTCCCGAGTTACACCTACAACCTCGCAGGGCCGCGTTCCATACATGTGGAGTCGCCAACTCAACCGAGGCTGCGATTCCTCCAGGTGGATCTATCTGATGAGAGATTGTTGTGTTGCAGACATAACCTCAGCAGCCATAATTATTTTGTTGCTGGATGTAACCAACAATCAATAAACGCTTAAAAGGGGTTGACCTACACCCTCTTACCAAGAGGTTAAACTCCTTGTAAAACATTAATTGCAATATAACAAAAAAAAATTGTGATTAAAATGGTCATCGGGCTTTTCATAATTGTAGTAATTTAGCAACAACAAAAATGAAATAAGCCTAATGCTCTGTAAATATCTGTATTAGCCTTTTAATATGCTGTCTCAACTTAAAATTGCATTTATATTGCATTGATACTGATCTTCTACTTAATAATAAAAATATTTGCATCTTTAACAAAACAAAAGCTTCCTTTAATATATTTGATTCAATTGCTATACTGTATGTTACACTGAATAGGGGATTCATTTCTTGGCAGCTACAAAATCAGTTAAGTTTATCTGTGGAAACTTGAGCCCTTTTCAGACATGGAAGTGGCATTGTTAGCTTTACCCATCAGGTACATTGATGATTTCATGTTATTGAAGTGTCGATCACATGTCTGAAGTGTCTTTCAGTGTGTCTGTCACTGCTTAATTAATCAAATGGCTTTGCTAGCACATATTTTTGGCTTGCTTTAACTTAACAGTGTGTATTTCAGACACGTAACGTTGACCTTGGCTGAAATAATAAGGCATGCAATTCTCAGCAGGTGCAAAATTTGGGTTGCCAAATACTGCTTCAGTTTCTCTATGGAGGCCAAGTAATCAAATAGGGTACCCAACCCTACCAGAAAATTTCATTCATGTAACATTCACCAGCAGTTGTTGAGCCCCACCCCTTATGTTTCTATACAAGAAATCCCTGGTGAGCAATTGCAGCATTAAGTCTTCTTGGGTAATTCTCTACAAGCTTTGCACACCTGAATTTGGGAATTTGTCCCATTCTTCCTGAAAGATCCTCTCAAGCTCTGTCAGATTGGATGGGAAGCCTCTGAACGGCCATCATCAGGTCCCTCCACAGATGTTCTATGGGGTTTCAAGGTCCCATATTGTATAAAAGTAGATGTCCATGTGTTGTTTGACTATAAAGCAGGTCTAGTTTCTATATTAATACTGTGAAAGTATCAAAAAGCTCAGTCGACAGAGAAATGCACACAGCCTATATTCAGAAACTGAGCGTTAAAATAAGCCATCAGGACTTCTGTAACTTTGTGATGTCACAACAAACAGTCACTTCCTTAAGCTGTGCCCCCAGCACAGCCCACCTGGACCCACCATCCAACCTTGCAGGATTTGGTTTCTCTGAGTGTTTACCTGAAATCTGCTATGTTTGGCCTCTCCAATGATCTTTTCATCTTTAAATCTTTTTAACGCTAATTTTCTATTTGAGTTACACTCAGACTGAAAACCAGCTATTGCTGGTGGTGTGTGTGTTGACTGCAAACTTGCTTACTCACAGTTAAGGGATGAACCACCACCTGGAGTCACAGCCCCCAAGAAAGAAAAAGCTGCTTGATGACTTTGTCTCCATAGCTGATCACCCTCTTCCCTGATGTCCCTAGTGGCCACACTCCCCTGGTTGGTCTCTACACACACTGGCACTGTACAGGTCTGCCCTGAGGGTCTTGCAGCTGACAAAAATGAGCTGGTGGCTCAACTTCTCTGGAAGTAGATTAGTCAGGTGGTGTAGTATTTTTCTATTTTCTTCATCTGACAACCAATGACCTTCCAGGGTACAAATTTGATGGGTTACATGTTAGAGTTCAGCATTTGATATGAGGAGTCAATTTAAATGCTAATGAATATATATAATAATATGTTACAGATAATGTTACAGCCTGGCTCAACGACTGTGACAAGACAGGGGAGACAACACAAACTGGCAGCTACATTTAAGCAATTTATATATATAAAAAAAAAGAAGATTCAGGTTGACCAATATCAAAAGTATCAGTACACAAAAGAAAGGCCACAGCTATCATCTAGTTTGTCAGGGAGAGGGAATCTCCACTAGAGCGCCAGAGACCTGGGCTGCAGAATGAGGGATGTTTTTATAGCTGAGCAGGTGTGGCTCATGAGACTGGACCATGGGCTGGACACCACATTCAGCACCTACAAAACAACAAGAAAAAGAAACAGGGACACCTAGTGCCCTGGTGGAGGGGTCGTCACATGTCATACTGAGGATGCAATGTGATGGTGCATTCCACAAAGTGACACACATATAGACGACAATGGACACAGAGTTACAAACACATAGAGATCACAGAAAATCAAACACAAAAGAAGAGGTTTTCAGGTGTTCGCATAGAGTAGACACAGACTGAGGTGCATCTGTTCAGTACATCCTGGGATGAAATGTCCATTAATATTCTTTCAGAGAGCAAAATGATTGAAGTGGGGGAATATATCAAGTGTGTATCGGTGTGGCATAAAGACTGTGAGTGTGTGTGGCTATGCTTGTTTGAGTCCACAGTACGTTACTTTAAAGAGTTTTGCCTGCTGCTGGACTAGTTCTTCATGTTTTGTTGTTGAGATTTTTTTCCTCTAAGAGGATGCACGCAGTAAAAGGTGATGATGGTGTCAAATGGTATTTTGAGCTGGCTGACAATGACTTCCTTTATTGTCTTTCCTGGATCATCTGGATTGTTTTTTTCTTGGATGCCAGAAGAGACTAGATAGTGTCTCCGCTCGCATGCTTGACTCTTTCAGTCATTTATTTCTGTGGATTTATAAGCTCACCACTGTTTGTGACTGAATCCATGTTCATCTCTCTAAAGGCATCTGAATATTGTTCATGCTCAGAGGTGGCGATCTTTGTCCTGAATTTCAGCAGACTATTCCCTCAAAACCTCAGCCTCTTTTTTTCAAACCCTTCACCTGCTGTAGCAAAGCAGACACTCTGTGTCTGCCTTCCTTTTATAGCAACTGTTACAGAGGGAGTCATTTCTCTTCTCTAATTGAATCTTTTCTAAGTGCTCAAACATCCTGGACTCTGCTTTCTGTCTGAATTACTGCCTGTTCTAGAGCCACGTCCTGTCTTCTAAGATTCTCAGTTTGTCTGAAATATATATTTTTGTATTATACAGTTGTTTATTTGCTAGCTATGTATATATAATCAGAGGTTGTGGTCAGTATTCAATGTAACCAATCAAAGGTGTCCCCGCCTCAAAAGGCAACTTGACCGGAGAGTGACTGTTGACCATTTTCTTCCTTGCCAGGATTTTATGGGCATTGAGACCTATATACTATGAATGCCAAAAAATAACATAAGTATAAATAAATAAATAAATAAATACATACATACATACATACATACATACATACATAAAAAATGCTATTTCTTCTTTCTTTCTTTTTACATTTATTTATTTATTTATTTATACTTGTCCTTTTTTTGTCCTTTTAATAAAAGCAGATTGTAGCACTGTAGCTTTTTACATATATTTTGCTTATTTTGTTTAGGTCTAATATATACTTTTAGAATTGAAATCAAATTAATTACTTTTGGGATGCGTTTATTTAGGAAGAGAAGTCAGTGAGAGGGAGACAGCTGAAAAAGATGGACTGGCAATGTCGATGTTAAGAGAAAGCAGACGAGGAGTAATGTTGTGCAGAGTAACAGACATGAGGGCAGAGCGAGTGAGTAACAAGATAAAGGCAAGAATAATGAAGAAGAGCTTTCCAATGCAAATACAGAACAGACCCCAACAGGTGGAGAAGACAGACAGCACACAGGATGATCAGGTGTAGCCACAGTCTGAGTGTCAGACACAAACATAAGAAAACAGTGGGACAGAGAAAAAGAAAAGGACAACAGTGCACAAAAACAGAACACACTGACTACAGAAAGGGAAGCAGGGCCAAAAGTCTGCAAAATTGTGATGACATGAAAACAATGGAACAAAATGAAAACTAAACATGGGAGGAAAAAACTCACTTCCCATCCCATGGACTCATAGTTAGATTGACATCAAAATAATTCTCAATTTTTCTATCCCTCAGCACAATGCATTTGACAGATGTAGGGCTGTTTATAGTATCTCAAAAAAGAAGGGGAAAATCAAAGGATAAAAAATGTGTTATAAAGTGATTTACTGTGGTGAAGTCACATGCCATGTAAATCAAAGGTGATTAAGACCATGCAGTAAAAGACTTGTAAAGAGGAAAGACTGCTCTAACCAATGGTGTCAACAATTATTATTATCAAAGACACCTGTTGAAGAGATGGTGGCTGGTTTTGAAGAAAATATCCCCCAAGGTGAAGAAGAGTGTGAGGCTCCGTGATGATGTGATGCTTGAGCTCATGCTGACTGAAAAAGTAGTGAAAGAGAGTAGCAGCCATGCATCATGTAAAGGCAATCTTCATCAGAAGGCGATCTTCAGCACTTAGATCCTTCTGTTGTACATTTACACACAGACGTTGGAATAAAGATTTTAGCTGAACACTTGAGAAAATCATAAGCCATCACCTTCTAGACTGATGCTACAGGTGGTGTGGTGCAGAAAATCCCTGATCAAAAGAAACAGCTCTTAAGTTATGCTCTAGTTTTGCCAGACATGGGCAAAGATAAACCTCCCCTGCCTGTCACAGAGCTGATCTCCATCAGCCGTTCTACTCTATGAGGGAAACCTCATGAAATTCAAGAGGAAGTTATCTTATACAGCACAAAGACAAATGGCACAGGTTGAGACTGATTATAGGGGCTCTTATTAACAGTGTGTTTATATCCTTCACCTTGCCAGAGCATTTGAAATAGTATCTGCACGAACCGATCTGTTTCCCAACTTCACTGTGCTGTGCCTGTGCTCTGCCCATATCACAAAGGCTGTGTCACAAAAACAGACAGAGGCAC